TATATATATATATATATATATATATATATATATATATATACATGTGCCAGGCTGCAGTCACACTCACTCATCACCTTTTACTCCCAATCTCCCTCCTTAAATAAACAATTTAAATTTAAATACTGTATCATTATAAACATTCCATGCAATATGGATTGTTTATTTAAAATGTTACAGTATTTAAATTTAAATTGTAGAGAAGAGAAGCGCAGCAGAACATCAAAGAGTTAACCCTTCACACAGCTTCAGATCTGCGACACGGAGCTTAAATGTACTTCTTGGTCAATTACACTGAAACCACTGAACATAGAAGTTCTAAAACAATTAAAAATAACTTTTAACACTTTTGTATTTTGTGATTATGACGATTTTACAATGTGATATCCTTTGAATTTTAAGTTGGAAGACAAAAGTCAGGCAGCACGGTGACACAACTGGTAGAGCTGCTGCCTCTCAGTGAGCAGGTTACCCTGGTTCAAACCCTGGTCCGGGGGCCTTTCTGGGTGGAGTTTGCATGTTCTCTCTGTGCATGCATGGGTTTTCTCCAGGTACTCTGATTTCCTCCCACAGACCAAAAACATGCATGTTAGACTGACTGGTAACTCTAAATTGTCCCTAGGTGAGAGAGTGAATGGTTGTTTGTCTCGTTTGTCTCTATGTGTCCCTATGATGGACTGGAGACCTGTCCAGGGTGTTCCCCGCCTCTCGCACAGTGACTGCTGGATATGGGCACCAGTGACCCCCTCGATTCAAAAAAAGGAAGAGGCAGTAAAGATAATGGATGGATGTTTCTGTTCAGTGCCCTGAAATGACTTCTGTTTTGACTTGGCACTATATAAATAAACTGAATTGAATTGAAGTCCATCCATTCATGATCTTTTTACCCACTTTTTCCATTTTGGGTCACGGGGGTCGCCGGTGCCCATGTCCAGCAATCACTGTGCAAGGGGCAGGGTACACCCTGGACAGGTCTCCAGTCCATCACAGGGCCGAATTGAATTGAAGTGAATAGTCTTAATGCTGTGTAAGCACTCTGTCACTTCCTTGTGTTGTTTCAGAGCATGGTGACCATGATCCCAGCCCATGAAAGTGCTCTGGCAGCTTTAGCCTTTAATGTGTCCACCACCAGACTTGCTAGTGCCTCAGAGAGGGTAAGAAAGACCCAACAAACACCACCTTCCTTATCAAAACAGACCTCTGAGATATGCCAACCTGTTGATTGAACAATAACTGTGAAGTGGAGGACATTGTTTTCTCAACAAGGCTTCTACTTTAATGTGTACCTATGTAATTACTGTCAGCCAGTACAAGACAAATTGAGTTCCTCTGTCTGTTCAGGGCACGGTCATCCGAGTCTTCTCCATTCCTGAGGGTCAACGTCTATTTGAATTTCGCAGAGGCATGAAGAGGTCAGAGTTCTTGAAATCCATTTAAGACTGCAGAAAAGTGCACTTCTAGTAACTTTTAATTTTCATTACAGGGTGTGTTCAGCTGTTTTGATAGCTTTTCGTCAATGTTTTCATTAGAAACCAGTAAAAAAAATGTGATAAAAAGGCTTCAGAAATTAAAAAGCTTTAAACATACATATCCATACATCCATTTACTTTACTCCTATTTTCCTGTTTTGATCACTACTGAGTGTAAATATAGAAGTCATCGTAAGAAGAAGGACAGTCCTTCTTATCACATGTGGTATTCAGGCCTAATAAAAAACTAAGGTTTCATTTTCAGATAACGATTCTGACATTTATGTGTTTGCTTGCAGGTATGTCAATATTAGCTCTTTATCCTTCAGCCCTGATGGACACTTCCTCTGTGCTTCCAGCAACACAGAAACCGTTCATGTCTTTAAACTGGGACAGCTGGCAGAAGGGTAAACACAGTCAATACCCCGACAGACGGAAATAGCTGGCTACTCATTGCTTGTGTGTGTTTGTAGCGTTAGCATAATATATCATGGACTGAACTGATGCTAATGAAACTCAGAACGTAATCAATGGATGTACAACAACAAAGAATTAACTTTAGTGGGTGTGTGTGTATATATATATATATATATATATATATATATATATATATATACTTTGTGTATATATATATGTGTGTGTGTGTGTATATATGTGTGTATATATATATATATGTGTATATATAT